GGCTAGTACCTTCCTTAAGTGTAAATGGTAACCAGTGCAGTGAGTGTAACCAGTTATTTAGATAATTGCCTGGACTTGTTCTTATTTTATTTTACTTTTAGTTATTGAATGTTTTTATTTGCATTGTTGTATTGGTAAGAATATATTTTTCTTATACAGTAATTTGTTAAATATGTATGTGCTTCATACTATTGTGTATGATTTATGTATGCTGCATTTTGAAAAACTCAAATATATATTTTAAAAAAAGTGAATCACAGCAACGTCATCAGCTGGTGTAAAGCTGAACTGATACGGTGAAGCTACCAGTAGCAGGAGTGTGGAGCTGCGGCAAGAAGCTAACAAACACTGAAGAGAAGAAGAAGAGTTGCCATCGATACAGTTGCAGCCAGGCATGTTTTAATGTTACACAATACAGTTTTAGCAAGTTGCTCAAAGTCTAAACTGGTATTGTTGTGCATTTAAGATGTAAAGTTTACCTTCGAGCCAACGACCCCCAAAGAAATCCCAGCACCCCCTTTCGTAAAAATTTCCGCCAGTGCCCCCTGCCGTCCTCTGAACGCCCCCCGGGGGCGGTACCGCCCCTGTTGAGAACCGCTAGTCTAGAATCTGAATGTCGACGAAAGAAATCAGTTCGTGTGTGGCGTATTGCTTGCAGAATTTTAAGGGATTTCATATCTGGAGTTGGAATGTTCGTGATCGTAGAGTGTGATGGGGAAAACATCACTCTACGATCAAAAAAGCTATACCTATGATTTTCAATCGGTTAGTGTGTAGTCTCTCAGGTTTCAAAAATCAGCATACAATTCTAAAATCGTGTAGTGTGAACTGGGCTTAAGATAAAAGGCCTAAGCACCTTTGGCCTTAAAGCCCACTTCACACTACATGATTTTAGAATTGTCTGCCAATTTTCGAAATATGAGAGACCACGTACGAGCTGACAAAAAATCTTATGTACAATGGGTTTGATTGGTTACGATTGTGCAGTGTGTGGTCCAGCCACACTGCAAGAGCACACACAAACCGATTTCTCTCACCAACATTCACATTCCAGACAGAAAATCCTGTAAAAACCCACTATAATCACACTTGAATTTAGAGTAAACAAACATGGCTAACGACGTAAAAGCAATACCAACAGTTTGTGAGCTTATTTTAAGCATAAAAGATGTAACAAAAAAAAAGGCGTTGAATTAAAGAGTGGAGAGGGCATGAGCAGATCCTTTATTTGGTGCACTATGGAGGTGAGTTTATTTTTTTCATGTTGTTTCCAAATATCATCTCTGATATCCATTGAACTCTCTGTTGCACCATGTCAGCTGTTTGGGATTCCCCTCCGAACTTATGTCACTGCGCTTTCTGATTGGCTACCTGTCACATTCAACAGGCTACGTTCTCGCTCCCAGTCAGGGTAAACCCCATATACTGCAGTAATAAACTGGCCAAGATGTTGATCCAACATGTTGAATATGCCCGATTTTAGATTGGAGCAGTTCCTACGTTCTACCGACTGGACGCAATGTGTTGATACATACCACACACTACAGGATGATCGGTTACAATTATCGCAAGCCACAATCTTAGGACATTGGACGTTCTAAGATTGTTGTAAGGGGAAAATTGGGACAAAAAATTGTGTAATTTGAACTGGGCTTAAGAGAGCTCCTAATGCTTGGTTGACACGACAAGACTTTAAAATAGCTGTCCAATTTTCAAAACCTGAAAGAATAAAACATCTTGGGTATAGCGGGTTTGGTTGATCAGTGTGTGGTGTTAAGCCACACGGCAGCTACACACCACACACAGACAAACATTCAGCTCACACCTAGCAACAAGGTCAGCCTGCACTAGCCAGTTTAATATTGCACTAGTTAAGGCAGCGCAGAAGCTCCCACCCTGCCCCACCATGTTGTTGTGTAATGGATGGTTGTACTGGAACTGCAATTTCATTGTCTTTCTGACAATGACAATAAAATTCTTCTGATTCTGATTAAACATTGATCTGTTGCTGTTTAGTTATGACGCGCTGAGCGGCTAACGTTGTACCTGTTGATCGCTTGTAAAGTCAATCTAATCTTCTTGTAGTCCAAATTCCAAATTTGTTCCAGTCAGATAAACCATTTGTGAACAAAATCCATTTATTCCACTATATACTGCCACAGTGTCAACAATGACTCCGCCATAGCGGTCAAAAACTTGTAAGCCCTTCCGGGTTCAACACCTGTCAACTACCTGTCACCTCTTGGTGGTTCATATACCGGAGCCGACAGCCCCATCTAGTGACCAAAAAACAAAAAACAAAAATACACATAATTGGCTCCAATACAGCCAGACCAAGCAACAGGGTCAATAAACGGGGTCAAACACAACACCTCACTAGGATAAGAATTTCTGTCATTTCCTAGCACAGAGTTGCTCTCTGAAGCCAGAAGTCACTGGCAGGCCTTTGTGGCTAAGACAGGAGTTCTCTAAGGCAACTCTGAGAGTACAGGCCCTGGTTAATTCTACAGAACACTAAGTGATAAATATAACATACAGTACCTTGCACTTCAGTGACTTCTCTGCCAGATGAAAGGAGTCTGTTATCAGAGCGATACAGCTCTCTGTCCCTGTTGAAAGGCAGACATACAAAGACAGTCAATGAAGACAAAGAGTCCATATACATGAGCCAGATCTGTGACACATTAAGGGTTTCTTAGGTTAACTCAGTATTTCTCAACTCTGGTCCTCACCGCCCCACTGCTCTGCATGTTTTAGATGTGCCTCTATTCCAGAACAGCTGATTCAAATGATTGCATGACCATCAAGTACTGCAGAAGTCTGTTAATCACCCAGAGATACAATTCAGGTGTGTGGCAGAAGGGAAATACCTAAAACATGCAGGACAGGGGGGGCGGTGAGGACCAGGGTTGAGAAACACTGGGTATTTATTCCACTTTTTGCGTCACTACTCTTTGGATTTCTTTGAGTAATGATCAGCCAAACTTTATTTAGCCTATACCAAATGTTCAGTCCTTTTATTAATTAATGTTTGTTGTGAAATGGGTTTGATGAAAAAAAAAAAACAGGAGGGGATTAATTATCACATTTGAAAAATTGGAACTCAAAGTAAACACACAGCTTACTTAGAAAGAACTGGTCACTACATGTGACTTTCCATTTTAATTACATACGTGACCAGCCATAGCCAAAGACTTAAAAAAGAAATATCAAGCAATGGAAGATGATTGTCCTTTATTTTTATTTAAAAAATAAAAATAAAAAGGCAATATGAATTAAAGACAGATGAAAGAAATCATGTT